ACCTCCCTCAACCTGTCCCACAACCTGCTCCCCCGCCTGCCCCCCGCCGCCTTCGCCCCCCTCCCCCGCCTCCTCCTCCTCGACCTGGCCCACAACTTGGTGGCCACGGTGGCCCCGGGGGCTTTCGGGGGGTTGGGGGCTTTGCTCACCTTGAACTTGAGCCACAATCGTTTGACCCATTTGCCCGAAGGCTCCTTTTCGGGTTTGGGCAACCTGACGGGGCTCCTGCTGGCCCACAACCCCTTGGCCACCCTCTCCCCCGCCGCCTTCTTGCCCTTGGCCAACCTGAGGTGGCTAGTGCTGCGGGGGGGCCGCTTGCCCGCCCTGGGGCCGGTGGCCGCCGCCGTGGGGCACTTGCCCAATCTCCAGCTCTTGGATCTTTGTGGCAACCGGCTCTCGGCCTTGGGCCCGGGGCCACCGCTCCCCCCGTCCCTGCTAGCCCTCCTCCTCTGCAACAACTCCCTGGGGGGGCTAGCGGGGGCCGGCCCTGGGCTACCACCCCCGGCCCTGGGGCTCCTGGATCTCTCCTACAACAACATCTCGCGAGCCTCCGCCTTCGCCCCGCTCCGTTTGGGCAACCTCAGCCGCCTCTTGGTGGCCGGCAACCCCCTGGACCCCCTGGGGCTACTGGAAGCCACCGACCTGCGGCCGCGCAGCCTGGACGTCTCGGGCTTGAGGCTGGAGGTGGCCCAGTTGGGCCAGTTCTGCCGGCGTTTGGGGGCCACCCCCCTGAGGAGCCTCCGGCTGCGCCGCAACGGCCTGCGCCACTTGCCCAACGGCTCGTTGGCCGCTTGCCCCCCGGCCACCACCTTGGACCTGACGGGCAACCGCTTGCGGCGAGTGGGTTGCCTGGGGGGGCTACTGGGAGCCGGTGGGGGGAGGGGGAAGCTGAGGGAGGTGGTGATAGAGCACAACCTGCTGCGGTGGCCACCGCTCTGCTCGGGGTGGCCACCGTTGCCCGGGGTCCGCAACCTCTCCCTGCGCTTCAACCGCATCGGGGGGTTGGGGCCGGGGGCTTTCGCCGAGACCCCCCGCCTGCGCCTCCTGCGCCTCGACCTCAACAGTTTGGCTCGGCTGGACCCCCGGGGGCTGCGGGGGCTACGGTGGCTACTGGAATTACGGTTGGACAACAACCTCCTGACCGATCTGCCCCCCGGCGCCTTCTCCCCGTTGCGGCGCCTCGAGACCCTCAACCTCCGCAACAACCGTCTCTCCGTCCTCTTCCCGGGGGTCCTGGGGGGGCTCCCCCACCTCCAGACCTTGGATTTGGGGGGCAACAACCTGCGGCATTTGGGGGGGAAGGCCTTGGGGGGGTTGGGGGGGTTACGGCGGCTCTACCTGGACAGGAACCGGTTGTTGGAGGTCAACGCCGAGACCTTCCAGCCCTTGGGGGTCTCCTTGGAGGTTTTGGACTTGGGGGGCAACGCTCTGCGCTACCGGAGCCAGCGCCTGGGCCAGCGCCCCCCCTTCCAGGCCCTGGGGCGACTGCGGCTACTGAAGCTCCAAGGTCAACGGCCCTTCGGGTTGCACATCGTCCCCCAACGCCTCTTCCAGGGTCTCACCTCCCTCCGCTCCCTCTCCTTGGCCCAAAACGGGCTCTTGGCCATCGCGGCCGACGCTTTCGATGACTTGGGCCAGTTGGAATTCCTGACGTTGGCCGACAGCGGCGGGGGAGGGGGCGACCTCCCGGCCGGGGTCTTCAAGAACTTGAGCGCCCTGCGCAGCCTGGACCTGGAGAACATGGGGTTGAGGAGCCTGGGACCCCAAGTTTTCGGCAACCTCAGCCGTTTGGAGATGCTCCTGTTGGCCCGCAACCAGCTGAGGGGGTTGGACAAGGGGGTGGCTACCGGGGGGCTACCGGCCCTGCGCTACCTGGACCTGAGGAAGTGTCCCCTCAGCTGCGCCTGCGACAACGCCTGGTTGCCCACCTGGTTGGAGAACGGCCCCGTCCAGGTGGTCTATCTCTACAACTACACCTGCAGCGGGGGCAGCGGGGACGGAGGGGGAGATGGTGGTGGTCGCGGTGGAGGTGGTTGTGGTGGTGGACGTCATGGTGGAGTCGGTGGTGGTGGTGGAACTGGTGGTGGACGTCAAGGTAGAGGTGGTCGTGGTGGTGGAACTGGTGGTGGATGTCGTGGTAGAGATGGTTGTGGTGGTGGAACTGGTGGTGGATGTCGTGGTAGAGATGGTTGTGGTGGTGGACGTCATGGTGGAGGTGGTCATGGTGGTGGATGCCATGGTAGAAGTAGTTGTGGTGGTGGAACTGGTGGTGGACGTCATGGCGGAGGTGGTCGTGGTGGTGGAACTGGTGGTGGATGTCATGGTAGAGATGGTTGTGGTGGTGGACGTCATGGTGGAGACGGTCGTGGTGGTGGAACTGGTGGTGAACGTCAAGGTGGAGGTGGTCATGATGGTGGAACTGGTGGTGGACATCAAGGTGGAGGTGGTCGTGGTGGTGGAACTGGTGGTGGATGTCATGGTAGAGATGGTTGTGGTGGTGGAACTGGTGGTGGACGTCAAGGTGGAGGTGGTTGTGGTGGTGGAACTGGTGGTGGACGTCAAGGTGGAGGTGGTCGTGATGGTGGACGTCATGGTGGAGGTGGTCGTGGTGGTGGAACTGGTGGTGGACGTCATGGTGGAGGCACCGGGGATGGAGGTGGAAGTGGTGGGGATGGTGGTGGAGGCGATGAAGATGGTGGTGGAGGTGGTGGAGGTGGTGGTGGAACTGGTGGTGGACCTCACAGTGGAGGTGGTCG